TGCCTAGTGTCTGATCACAAAATTAATTTTATGAGTGAATTCCAATAGTGAGGAAAGGATTTTTTTATTTCCTTTTTAACCTAAAGTTTTAACTACTATTTGTAATTATATTTTTCTTGTTTAATATTCAGCTTCTAAAGTTGTCATATGGATAATTTAAGTTTCGTTTTTTCTTCACAGCCTTTGTCATCCTGTTTAATTTAGTTTTCAATGTCTTGATTTTGGGTTGAATGAAGTTCAGGTAACCCTTCTCTTTTGCTGTTGTAGCTTAACATCTACCTGAGTATCTAATTAGCACCTTTTCCTAGCAGATTGGTTCTGGCTGCTTCCAACGGTATTAAAATGGAAGCTATATAAATTATACAAACTTGTCTCCCAGGAGAGAGTGAACCAGTATTCCAGAAAGATGCTTTTTTTTGTTGTTGTTGTTTTTTTTTTTTCTTACTCACAGTTTATTCCAACATCTTTTGGTACTACTTTGTGGGATAGAAATGTGCTCTAAGAAGATCATTTGTGTAATTTTATCTATTGTTCTCATTTCAATCTTATGCAAGCTGTCTGTCTGCAAGCTACATTGTCATGAAGTATCATGACCTTTGGTAGGTAACACCAGTGAATTTTTTAGGCCAAATATCTTTCCAATCATCTTGTTTCTTACCTTTGCAAAAATAACATGCTGTTCTTAATCTATTTTGAAGCAGATTTGCTCTGTACTTTTAATTTCTCCTACAGATTGTACACTTTCTGTACAAGCATTTTTACTTTAATTACACAATTTCGTACAATTGAGAAGTTCCTTCTCTGATCAGAGGCACACTTCCACTCTACTCTTATGCTTTCAAGCCATTAATAAGAATTATTTTTTCCCTAGTGTGACAAAATGGTCCATTCCAAATTTTTGTCTCTAAATGCTCCTCATTTCTTCTGGTGCTGCCTAGTGTCTGATCACAAAATTAATTTTATGAGTGAATTCCAATAGTGAGGAAAGGATTTTTTTATTTCCTTTTTAACCTAAAGTTTTAACTACTATTTGTAATTATGATTTCCTATCAGTCTGAAACAGAACCAGAAATGTATGGTAGCATCCAGGGTGTGTCAGTGGATGTGCATAACAGAATGACACTTCTAATGCTTTTACCAGGAAGCAAATGCTTAGTCTTGCAGTTGTTAGAACACTGTAATTTTCAGTCAAGTACCTGACTGACAGAATTGAAAAATTGAATCTAAAAGACCTTTAAGTCTATTTTAGGGTGTTGCCTAGCCAAACATTTCAAAAACTAATGCAGCCTGCTTCTCTTTTTCATTAGTAAAACGTTTCAGAGTAAGGTTTACTGTAAAATGCCAAGATAAAATTGATCCATTTATGACTTGCTGTTTTGTGATTTGAAAAAAAAATAAAATCAGTAAATAGTGTTTTTTTATGTGTTGGTTTCCTGAGAGGAACATATTCAATAAGAAGGAAACTCAGGTGTATGACAATACTTTTATCTGTTTCTGTGGAAATTAATTGTAGCTAGTTGTCAGTGTGTGTTTCAGTTAAAGAGAGTAAACATTCCAGTTAATTAAGAAGAAAATAAAATTAAACTATGAGCTTTGAAGCAGCTATTAAAGCAGCAGAAAATTAAATTCAGATAATTAATCTGCAAAACTCATGATAAGTTTGTGCTATAAGTTTTGGTTATTTCGTAATAAAATAATCCTTGAGGAAACACAGTGAAAGCAAAATATTCAAGAGTTGTTTTCTGTATCATACCTGCCATCATCTTTTTAAATGTGGACATTTTGAGAGCCATATATTCCTAAATATCACCTTGAGTTATTCACTGTGCACTATAGAAAGTAAGCAGTGTAACCTTGAAAACTCACTGGAGTCTTAACCAGTAAATGTATTACCCTGAATGTGTGTGTAAATATGAAGTAAACTGTTCATCCTGCACAAAAAGGTTGCAAGTTCATTTTCTAAATTTGATTTCTGCTTCCTTCATGAGGTTTAAAAACAAAGGGGAATCTGTCATGAAGTCGTTGAGCTAATTTGAACCTGATATTCCTAGAATAACTATGTCTCTCTACTCACAATTAGAGGTGTTTTCCAGAATTTTAAGGCTCTCACATTTATTTTTCCTTGCCTCCTTCTCTCGGAAGATACAGAAAATAGAAGTATATGGAAAGAGTAAGTTTGAAATATCAAGGTCTACAAGCAGTGTGCTTTGCTCTTGCTTTAGTAGATTTACTTCATTGTGCTATTTTGTATAATGAAGACTAGACTTTAGAATAAACTGAAATAAGTCTATTCTTTTTATCTAAAAATAGTTTATTCTTTTTGCAGTGAATGGGAGTTTGGTGATTTACGCAAAATGAAGAATTTACTCTGTGTTAATAAGATATTAAGACGCTTATCAACATCAGAATAAAATAATATTTCTGATATTAATAATATTTAAACTGTTATTGAAGGACTAAATTGAATTTAATAAAAGACAGAGAAAGTTTAGGCCTTTATCTTGTGGAGGAAAAGAACCCTTCTCCTATATGAGATTAGGGAGTGGTATCAGAGAGTTCTTCCAATATTTTTTTTTTTTTTGGTACTACTTCACTGGGGAAGAAAAAAAAAGAACAAAAGTGTGTTTAGAGATTTTGTTTTGATTTGTTTACCCATAAGTCTACAATGTAAAGTATATTAATGTTCTCCAACATATTGAGGCTAAAAAGAGGACTTACTGCTTCCAAAGCACCTTCCATTCCTATACATGATTAAAAAAAAAATCCCACTGCTCATCCCCAAATCCTGTGGGAATTTTAACATGAAAAGCATCCCTGGGGCTAGCAGAGAGGTTTCGGAGATTTTTCAGACTATGTCAGGGTATCTATTTCTGTGTAGGTATTAAAGATTATATCTTGATGTGTATGGTAGGTGATTCAGAGTAGTGCCATTCTAAGCATGTGTTCTACAAGATGATATTCCTGTTTAGCAGATAAAGTAAATATATAATACAGATAAAATAAAAGATTGCAGCCTGGCTAACATGATGCTAACAGAACACAAGTATTTCATACACGAAAAAAAGGTGCATATAATAAAAAGATGAAACAAACATTCATTGGTCAATACTGAAATCTGATTTAAATATGGCTGCACCTCAAACATGCTTTTTCCTTTAACGTGTTTTTGTGGTGAATAGAATTTGATTGAAACAAGTATCAGTAAACTTTCTTTCCTGTTAGATTCATGTAAAACTTCAATTTAAAGATTTGAAGAATAGTATAACATAGAATAACAAAGAATTGTAATGCCATTGGCATACACTTACATGAATAAATGGCTGCTAAGATTATCTTGAATGTGTTAGGAAGAATGTCTTTCAAAAGTTTAAATCTCATTCTGCATTTCATTTTGCAGATCCCTTGGTAAAAGCAAGAACTCTTTCAAGGTACATCCCTATTCTTATCATTCCAGCTGTTTCCTCCTCTGTCCCCACTTTACAGGCACTCTTACCGCGTATGAATTTATAGCAGTGAAGGCATCCATCCTTGCATAGATAAATAATATTATTCAATAAGTCATTAAAAATAAAGATTGTCACTCAAAATGCTTAATTACAGAAGGTGCATCTTTTTGGCTAGTTGATTACCAAAGATTTTTTTTCACTGAAAACAAAACCTCAGTGAACTATTTCAGAGATGGAGAAAGAAAGGCATGAGGTGACTCAAGGTCATGTGAGAAGAGAATTGCTAGGATACTTTAACAAAAGGCAATTACATTTTTCTTTTCAGGAGATGTAGGATATCATTCATGTCTGAGCAATTGGTAATAGAATAATAAATTTATTCCTAAAATGTAAGGTATATTTTCATTTGCTACTAGTATAAATTATAGCATGTTTCATATACTTGTGAAATGTGGAGCCAGGTATTCATTATTCTCTTTTGTTTCATTTTGTTTCTACTAATCATGTTTCGATCAGTCATTTATTTGCTTATTACATCTTGAAAGCTGAGGAGGTTCATAGACTTCATTTATAGACTTTACTTTTGTTGTTACCCAGAAAAAAACTTTAATATCAGCTAAATTGTTTGAACTGCCTGAGTGCAGCACTCTATGACTAACTTAAAATTCAGGCAGTACTGATAATAGGATTACCCTTTTGACTAAAGACTAAATATTGAGTTACATTGTCTAAGAATTACCTTTAGTTTTCAGGTTTCTGGAAGAGCACCAAACCAGCCCCCAAACTTGCAGATACCAGTATCTAATAGTCTATCTCCCTATCAGTCTGATATCTCATTCCCACCCTTCTTCTCTCTTTTTCCTCCTGCAACAAGCAACATATAAAGTACATTTATTATTTCCTAAATTTATGGGGAAATACTTTATAAAAGTACTTTTTTTGTTGTTTATTGAAGTTATACAGGCTAAAAAAATCCTTTGCA